TTTGAAGTCTTCAGAGAACTTCAGATCTAGGCAACTTCTGACTTATGACCATCAACCAAGTTCATTTCCTTCTCAGTGTTTCCTGGCTCTGCCAGCTATTGAAACAGTGGAGCCTGCCTCTGGATGTGTGTGATCGTGTGTATGTGTGGGTGGTTCAAACTTTTATCTTATCTGCCTGGAAAGTCAGTGATTGCTGTGTTCAGATCAGTCCTTGAACTTGGTTTTTTCCTGCAGATTTGAGAGAGCTTTCCTGGACTCTCAGTGCTCTGCCCTCCCGGTACCACCATTATTTCTTGGGTTGCTCTCAGCAGCTCCACAGAGTGAAAACAAAAACCGAATGAGGGGATTAAGTTGTGAGTTAAAATTTGCTTTTTAATTTATTTTCTTGAAATGCTTACCTGCATTTACAGAGTTATTGTGCTTTTTGAGAATAACTTAGAATATTGTGCTTTGTCAGAATAATTTTGAAAATATTTGTAATTTGAAATTTTCCCACGGGAAGTTCAGTGTTGTTGTTTATGCTGTGTAGAATCTTCCAGTGTTTGATTTTATGCTTCTAGATTTAATGGAACTTTTTCTGAAGCATGCTAGGATTGGAGGACTTCTCATGAAACTTAAAGAAAAGGGAATAATTTTCAAGTTCTCATTTCTCTGTTCACATCTTTCCTTTACCCCAAATACATGCACGTACACACACACACACACACACACACACATTCCAGAATATAGAATATGTTGTTCACTACATTTATATCATATATCATTAGCTGGGGCTCAGTGTGGACCACATAGAACTGAATCTATAAGGGTAAAACAAATGGAAGAAATATACTTTACTTATTAAAAGAACAATTTAGCCAGGCTCAGTGGCTCAGCCTGTAATCCCGCGCCCTTGGGAAGCTGAGGTGAGTGGATTGCCTGAGCCCGCGGGTTCGAGACCCGCCTGGGCAGCGAGACCTCATCTCTACAATAAATCAAAAAATTAGCCAGGCGTGGTAGTGCATGCCTGTAATTCTGGCTACTTGGAAGGCTGAGGCGGAAGGATCGCCGGAGCCCAGCAGGTCGAGGCTGCGGTGGCCGGGAGTGGCCACTGCACTCCAGTCTGGGCGACAGAGTGAGACTCCGACTCAAAAAAAAAAAAAAAAGAACAATTTAGTTTCAATGTTAGATGACTAAATTTCTTCAGAGACAGGCATTGTTTTTCATTTTTGACTCTTGTTCCATTAATCTTCATTAAAGCCAATTTTAGACATTTTAATTTTCAGTCTCCGGCTCATCTTGAGTAGGAAGACTTGAGATTTCATGTAGACTGTAAATTATAATCACATAAAATTGCTTGTGGCTTTCCAGTAGAGTTTAAAATGATGTATGAATTGATTTTATCTTTTAAAGTAAATATAATTCCTAAATCATCTTCCAGCATACCCAATTCAATGACATGAGTTATCTTTTATCTTCCAGCCCTCTCCTCTGTACGTCTTTCCCCGTATAATTCTGGAATCACCAACATTCACTGGTCACCATAAGGTAATGCTGTTTCAGGCCTAATATCCTGTAGTTTCCTAAATTGGTCACACCAGCTTCCGAGATGTGACTAGTATGTATTCAGAATCAGCTGGTTTATTTTCATCTTGTTACTCATGTCCACCTTCTCTGGCAACATTTTCCTAGCACAAGAAGCTTAAGCTTTTTGTCAGAGGGAATTTTGTCACAAAATGTTTCTTTACAAATTGTAAACACCCTTATTTGGAGGAAATAAATCATGGACATCTTTGACTGAGTTGGGCTAATGGTAAATTTGCAGCATGACCACATGAGCAGAACTGGGCAAACCAAAGTTCATTTCTGGACTGCCACTTGTTTTCTGTGTCTTTGAGCAGAAACTCTGAAGCTCTGTTTTTTTTTTTTTAATCTACTTCACAACATGAAAATAAGAATTATTTTCAGGGTAGGTAACAATTAGAGATAATTCACATCAAGCACATCCAATACAAGTTGTTTTCTAGAAAACACTGAATTTGTTTTGATAAATTACTTATGTGCACACCATTCTATTAGAGTACAAATTAAAGATGGTTTAGAGTCATGTTTCTCAAATTTTCAGGTGCATACACATTACTAGAAGATCTTGTTAAAACGTAGATTCTGATTCTGGATTGGGACCTGAGATTCTTCATTTCTAGGAAGCTTTCAGAGGAGGCCAAAAACATATGGCACTTTTACATGAACTGTAATTTGAAGAGTGATTGTGGATTGATTTTGCACATACAAAACAATAGTACAAATTAAATTAAGATAAAGAAAGGAAGAATACCAAAAAATGAGGTAAGATATAAAATGGAACCAGGGATGATGCTGTAAATGTGTAATGTAAACTACCTACCACATGGGGAATCAGTTTGTCTATATGATTTGCAGTAAGCAGCATGAAATGTGTCCACATCCTCAGTATTCATTTACTTTCTCATACTATGTATGCATTATTAGAGTTGGTAGGTAACATTAAAATACTACTAAACATGATATTCCAAAGCCAAGGAAGAAAAGTAGAGCCTCACTTATTTTTCTAATAATTCAGAATATGACTTGTTCAAATGAGGCTTGGTATTAATCTTACTTTCAAATAAAATGAAACAATTTGCTAAGAAATTCATAAAATAAAATGTTTCAGAAAGACCGATTTTATTTATTATGTAAAAATTAAGTCTAATATCTGAAGGTACTATGCTGCTTCTTGTATTCACTTATTCCTTTATATATAAATTAGGAAGGGTACTATTTTTAAGACCAAAGAAAATTCTAGGTGGGAAGTGCAGGTCTCATCCTTCATTTATTCATTCAATGTCAACGTCACGATCTGTTCCTTTCTTGTGGCTGCTAACATGTTTTATTTATGCTAGAGAATGTCTTCTACTAGGCTCAGACTTTCCATTGACAAAGGACTGCTAAGGCTATCAGACATTTACTGGGAATGGAGGAAAACTGAGAAGAATATAAAAGATAATAGTTTAATTGGAAATAGTTCATATCATTTTCCTTAAATGCCCTAGCCACCCAGCTTTTATTAAGCTTCTTGACTCAGGTTCTCACCTTGTTTGTCTTTACTCTTTACTAAAACTTTGATCCTTCATCAATGCCCTTTGTTCCAGGCTTCTGGGGTCCACAACTCCTTTACTTTATAAGCAGCAAATGAAGATGCAAAATTTAAAGTATTTTCATTCATATTCACTGTATTTTTAGCATGAGATGCCATTTATTTTAAGACAAACATATCGTTTAATAATGAATTTCACGGGGGAAACAAAATAACTCACTATTACTGTGTGAAGTTTATTAATGATAAGATGAAACAAACATGATACATTTCTTATAAAAATATGATACATTGCTTATAAAAATAATACAAGTCAGACAATGTAAAATAAAGAAATGTTGCCCCAATTTTTCTCTTCTAGACTTTTTTGGGGGTGGTAGTAGAGGAATTACCTTTGAAGTATCAGGCTGTTATATCAACATGTTTTTCCTAATCAAATGCATACTTATGTCTATATGGATTAATAAATAAACTAGTTTAAACTGCAGCTAGCTCTTAAATTAGTTATTTTGCTTGAGACACCCATTATATAAACAACTGCTGAGAACTTAGTAAGTACAATCACTGTTTAAAACTCCTTCAAAAAATTTTGGAGTCACCAAATTATTTATAAAATATTTGGCTAAAATAGGTATACTTATCAGTCATTCTTAAAGTGATTGGTAATCTTTGAAGTTTCATGCTATTTTACTTGAAGAAATACAAATTTATCTGAAATATTATGCAATTCACACAGTGATTAGGTCAAATTATTTCTATTTATTCACTAGTATACATTTATTATTATTATTTATTGAGTCTCAGAAGTAAATGAAAAAATAGATTATGAAGCAGTCTATAAATTCACATGCTACATTTTCTTTTAGTTCTGAGATGTTTTCATTCCATGTGTATCAGGGAAAAGAATGTGGGGAAGAGTTAAAAAACAAGAAATACCAAAAGCAAGGCTACAGTTTTGCTTGCAAAGTTCAGTGATGATTAAGTGGGAAAAAATAAATAATGAGTGACTCGCTGTGATAGTTTTAGGTGTCAAACTGATTGGGCCACAGGGAACCCAGACATTTGATAAAACATTATATGTGTGTGTGTGTGTGTGTGTGTGTGTGTGTGTGTGTGTGTGTGTGTGTGTGTGTATCTGTGGGTATGTTTTTGGATGAGATTAAAATTTGAATTGGTAGAATGAGTAAACATATTGTTCTCTCTAGGGATACAGCTGAAGTATTAATGATAGATTTGTTTTGCTTTAAACCTAGATTTTTTTATTTTTATTTTTTAGTTGGAGTCTCACTCTGTCACCCAGACTGGAGTGTAGTGACCGCTCCTGGCCACCGCAGCCTCGAACTGCTGGGCTCCGGTGATCCTTCCGCCTCAACCTTCCAAGTAGCTGGAATTACAGGCGCGTGCTACAACACCCGGCTAATTTTTTTTTTTTTTAATTTATTGTAGAGATGAGGTCTCACCAAGTTGCCCAGGCGGATCTCAAAACCGCGGGCTCTGGCAATCCACTCACCTCAGCCTCCCAAGGCGCGGGATTACAGGCGGAGTCACCAAGCCCGGTTGTAACCTAGAATTTTTTTAAAGTACATTTCTGTGAAACAGAATTCTTTTTCATTCAATGTGAGATGTGCAATTCCAATACTTTTCAAAGCTTCCACTGAAGATGGTTGCCCTGTTTGTCAGTGAGCCAGTTGCTGCTCTAGCAGTATACAGTTTATGCCCACAAAAAACATCCTTTGTATTTAGAGCTCTGTGTACTCAGTGTGTTAAAGGCCAATCTTACTTTGTGGCAAATTGCAGTGTCTCAGATTCTGATTTTTATCTTTTTTTATTTCTCCATGATCTAATCATTAGTAAATAGTCTATTAAGTATTTATACAATCTGGTATAAAAATGACTTCTCCAAAAAAATGCCCTGGAAAAAAATCTGAAGATGGTCCATGGCTATCCCGTGATCTGTGTTTTTATGAACAACTGGGAAAAGGTTGAACAGTTCCACAGACCAGATGACATGGTGATAGCCACTTACCCTAAATCAGGTGAGTTTCATGGCCTGACAAGTGCAGGTCTGACATCAACTTTGGTTTCCTTCTCTATATAAAATCATAGTATCTTTTTATTTTTATTTTTTTTGAGTTGGAGTCTCACTCTGTCACCCAGACTAGAGTGCAGTGGCTGCTCCTGGCCACCGCAGCCTCAACCTGCTGGGCTCCGGCGATCCTTCCGCCTCAGCCTTCCAAGTAGCTGGAACTACAGGTGTGCGCTACCACGCCCAGCTCATTTTTGATTTATTGTAGAGATGAGGTCTCGCCAAGTTGCCCAGACGGGTCTCGAACCCGTGGGTTCAGGCAATCCACTCACCTAAAATCATAGTATCTTAAGTAAAGTTAATATTCCTATTAATGCAGCCATCTACTTCTACTGTATTATAAGGAACATATGAGGCATACAAAGAGAAATTGCAGAATTAAATTTCTAATAGAGTGTATTAAGATGGAAAACTTCTAATAGGTACTTCTCACCTCCTCCCTAGATTTGAGTGATGATTATAAAAACATTGCCTTTTGCCATAGGTACCACTTGGGCTAGTGAAATTGTAGACATGATTTTAAATGATGAAGTTGAAAAATGTAAGTGAGACTTTATTAATGTTAAAGCTCCAATATTGGAAATTACCCTCCCTGGACTAAGAACATCACGTAATATTATTTACATAGTATATGCATTATTATATTTGTGACTCCCATTCAAAGTAACTGGTATAGATTTGGTAACATAAAATGTAAGTTTGTAAGCAACATAGTAACCTAGAAATATGAAAAAACTGTAGTTTAGTCTGCCGCACTTCTAAAAAAGGCACGAAAGATGAAGAGTCGTGTTATTGGAAACAACTGAAAATTTAGTTAATAGCATAAATAATGTTCCTTGTATTTTATTGACTTTTATTGTGTATAATTTGGCAGATTAGAGCAATAAAATTATAATTTAGGACATTGTTGTAATTTAAAAAATTAGTAAAGAGTACCAACTTCTCTTAAAACATAAACTTATTATTAATACCATTAATTTTTTATTCCACAAATGTTTAAGAGCTTCTAAAGAATTTTTCACTTTGCTGTGGGATAGATATAAAATGATTAGTAAATTATATATCTTATACCCAGGGAGCTTGCAACAATATTATGATATTAAAAAAGTAATAAGCTAATAATGCAGCCATGTTATTAATCTTACATAATCAAAGAATAGGACTCTAAGGAAGGGAATGACAGGAAGGTTTACTTTAAATGGGATATTCAGGGATGTCTACTGTAAATTGAGACTTAAAGCCACATACCTAGATAATGAAAGCATATTCCAGGAAGGTGAAGTATTAGACATAAAGGTCTTGATTAAGAAAAGACCTGGTGTAGTCCAAGGACTAAAAAGATCAATGCAGGAAGGAAAAGATGGAATGCAAAACAATTGGAGGCTAGACAAGGATAGGTTATGCAGGGCTTGTAATTTTTAGAAGATTCTCTAATTATATGTAAGTACGATAAGAACAACATTGAAGGTTTTAGACAAATAAAAGTTATAGAGTTTTTGTTGTTGTTTTTGTCGTTGTTGTTATTGTTGCTACTTTAAATACAAAGGCCCCACTGGCAGCTTTGTGGATGCTAGAGAAGGTATACTTTGAACCTGTCGATAAACTGTATAAGAAATATTAGGGAACTGAAAGAGTTAAGAATGACAAGAATAACATGAAGACAGACAGTAAACAACAAATAAGTAAATAAATGGTTAAACAAAAATGAACATTATATAGAACATTAAAAAAAGAATGTCATAGCCGGGCTCGGTGGCTCAACCTGTAATCCCACGCCTTTGGGAGGCTGAGGTGAGTGGATTGCCTGAGCCCGCGGGTTCGAGACCCACCTGGGCGGCGAGACCTCATCTCTACAATAAATCAAAAATTCAGTGAGGCATGGTAGCGCAAGCCTGTAATTCCGGCTCCTTGGAAGGCTGAGGTGGAAGGATCACCGGAGCCCAGCAGGTCGAGGCTGCGTTGGCACTTCACTCCAGTCTGGGCGACAGAGTGAGACTCCAACTCAAAAAAAAGAATGTCATAAGAAGACTGAGCAACGCCTTACTATATATAATAAATTATTGTAAACAATTAAAACAAATGGTTGTTTTGCTTTGAGTCGGCGGTCTCACTCTGTCTGTCCCCCAGGTTGGAGTACAGTGGCATACTTTTGGCTGTTACAGTCTTTATTTTGATCAACCAAGTAGATTATGGAACCATTTACTTGTTCTTAAAAAAAAAAAAGTACTTGGAAAAGAACATATTTGAATGTGGGGCTATTAATAATTCAGTTTGCAAGTTTTAGGTTGAGATGCCATAGGGTATTATAGTCAGTTAAAATTATGGTACTTGGAGCTAGTTAAAACATATTTATTAGGCAACTCTTAGAATAATTAGAATCCATGTGATCACCCAGGGTAACCCTGTAGAGCAATATGAGAAAAGCAGGACTGAGCTGTGAAAAACACCAACATGTTGAGGCTTGGTAGAGGAAGAGGAGCTAGCTAAGGAAACTGAAAAGAAACAAAAAAACTAAGAAGAAATGGAAGAATATTTGATTTGTAGGCAAATGAGAGGGGTAGTCAAGAAGTAAAGTCTGGCTTTCAAATGCTGCTGGAAATTTGGGCTAAGAAGATAGGAGGATGGTGGTAAATCTGTACATCATTGTAAGCAGTAACATCCCAATCCTCTCCCATAGCAAAGGTGCCCCAAAACAGACAGACTGTGTTAATTATTTCCATAGCCAGAGAAGTATCAGCAGGGAGGGTGTCAGCCCTTCTGTGTAGTTGCCTGAAGTCAGAGAGCAAATGCTAAAGTTTGAACCTGAAGGATTATGTTGGGATATGCAACTAATATGAGTTCAAGAGTGAAGTAAGACATTAGAGCCATAGTAAAGTATGAAATGGGAAAACTGATGGAAACAAAGTAATCAGGAACTTGGGGGTCAGGGATTACTGGTGGGAGGCAGAGTTGGAGATGGAGAGGAAGGTTCTGTAACATTGCCTGAGTGCGTGGTTGAAGCTTAGCAGGCAGACAACAGTAAATTGTGGCACTTAGATCTACTTTAGAGCTTGGATGTGGATACTTGTGCTGTCTTTATTCCTCACACTTACACTTGTGGCTTTAAGGAATTCATTTAAGGGCATCACACGGTAAAAATGATTGCAAAACAAAGGAAATAGAGAAGTCTTTTAGAAAGTTGACAGAAGAACAAGGAACAACAGACACTGGAAACAATTCTTAAAAGAAACACATGTAGGTTCATGTCATGAGCATTAAGTAATGAATTGTGGAAGATTACAATTTCTCTCTTTTTTTTTTTTTTTTTTTTTGAGTTGGATCTCACTATCGCCCAGACTGGAGTGCAGTGGCCTCTTCCAGCCACCACAGCCTTGACCTGCTGGGCTCTGGCGATCCTTCCGCCTCAGCCTTCCAAGTAACTGGAACTACAGGCGCACGCTACCATGCCCGGCTAATTTTTTTTGATTTATTGTAGAGATGAGGTCTCGCCTGCCCAGGCGGGTCTCGAACCTGTGGGCTCAGGCAATCCATTCACCTCAGCGTCCCAAAGGCATGGGATTACAGGCTGAGCCACTGAGCCTGGCTTCAGTTACTCATTTTTATACACTGGGTAAAGAGGCTGCAACTGCTAAAGCAGCAGAAGCATAATAAAATCCCTAGCAAAATTTTATAGGTCTGTAATTAATGATTCCAGATAAAATACAAGTTCCCCTAATTAAATTTGAAATTCAGAAAACCATTTTATTTAGTAAAGGATGTCCCAAATATTTCATGGGAAATACTTTACTAAGAAATCATCCGTTATTTATCTGAATTTCAAATTTAACTGGGAATCTTCCATTTTTACTTTATTCAAATTAAAATGTTCATAATATTACTCATGTGCTATCTTTATTCAAATTAATATGTTCTTAATATTACTCATGTGCTAGTCATTGTTCTCTGTTGACATTTATTTGTGAACATTTCTGCTCCTATAAAATCTCCACTCTATTGTGTATGTTTGAGGGTAGGTGGCAGGGGCACTGGGATAGACTAGTAAACAAATAAGTAAATCAACTATTAAACAAAAATGAGTGTTAAACAGAAGAGTAAACAAAGAATGTCATAGTAAATAGACTAAGTGACTTACTATATATAATGAATTATTGTAAACAGGTGAAACAAATATTTTTTTGTTAAGTTGGACTCTCACTTTATTGCCCAGGCTAGAGTGCTGTGGCACACTCATGGCCACTGCAGCCTCAACTTGCTGGGCTCGGATGTTCCTTCTGTCTCAGTCTTCCAAGTAGCTGGAACTATAGGCACACGCCACTATGCTTGGCTAATTTTTTGATGTATTGTAGAAATGAGGTCTTTCCAAGTTGCCCATGTTGGACTCAAACCCCTGGTCTCAGGCAGTCCTCTTGCCTTGGCTTCGCAAAGTGTTGGGATCACAAGTGTGAGTCACCGTACCCAGCTACAAATGATCATTTTGAATGAGCGAGAAAATTTGTGTATGTCCTTCTAAGCAGAGGTGGCAAGATTATGCAAGATTGACAGTAAATCTAGAGGTTAGACTGGATGTATGTAATATTGTGGGGGAAAAAGAATGCATAAAATTCCTAGATTTATTGGAAAGACCTGAATGAAAAGACAGCAATAATTTGAGATTGTGTTTGGTGGCTCTACAGGTTATGGCATTATTAAAAGAATATCTGAGATGTGATAAAGGCAGCAAAATCATTTAAGAAATAGAAATTTTAATGGGTTAGTTCAACTCTTCCTAGCCTATGCCTGAAACTCTGTGTATGCTTTATCCCCAAAGTGCCTTCAACTGGCCATGTTAATGATATGGTGAGATACAGGACACTTGGGATCTTCTTGGCTCTGAATGGAAAAAAAAAAAGCAACAACAAAAATGACACTTTCTGCCATAACGAAATTCATATGTATCCCATCCAAAGACCTTAATTTGAAGCCAAGTTCTACCACATGCTAGTTATATGACTTTGGAGAGTGAAGTTAAACACCTGAAGATTGCACAGCATTTTCACTTTATATACACACAGGCACCCACATATACCTATGTTTTGAATTAGTGAGTTAGATATAATTTTGTATGGGTGTGTCTTTCTATGCAGAGGTGGCAAGATTATGTAAGATTAGCAGTAAATCTATGAGTATATGAATGTGTGTGTATGTGTGTGTGTGTGTGTGTGTATGAAACATAAAGGAAATAATTAAATATACACAGAACAAATAATTAAAATATACACACAACTTACTATATACCAAGATAGCATCATCTATGCTACAGTAGCTGGTGCAACACAGTAGCCAATTTTAGAATTCCTAGTTATTGATATCTCTTTGGTATACAGAGAACATTAAAAGACATTTATGGTAATACACAGGTATGATAACAACTCCAATTCATCACAGTGGGTGTTATTACATCTAATTTTGGCGATAGGGAAAGTGAAGCACAGTACTCTGAGATTTCAAAATGTCTCGCAATTAATGTGATACGGTCAGCATTTGAACTTCACTTCTAAAGTGTCAGAACCTATGCCCTTAAATATTACCCATTACTGCCTCTGCAATCCAGTAAAAAGTCTGTGACTGGCTCAGAATTTAGCTATATTATATAACGCTCAAAAATACTTTGAAAATTTGATTGGGAAAATAAAGAAATGTAGACTTCTTGGAGACTCTAACATTTCTATATACCACACTGAAATTTTTCAGGTTTAGAGCAGATAGAGAAGAATCCATCATCTCAGTTTATGAAGACTTATCTACCAACTAATCTTCTCTCTAAGGCTTTCTGGGAGAAACACTGCAAGGCACACTCCTGACTGCAAGTCAACTTTTCAATATGACCCTTTACCCTCTTACATTGTCAGTAAATGTTCAAATGTTTTATTTACCTGTGACTATGAGAATTGGGCTCTATTGAATTACTGCAATTTTATTTTTTAAAAATTTTAATCTAAACTTACAAATGAAAGTTTTCCAAGTTAAGTAGCCACAGAATCTTTATCTCGACATAATATTGCTACTTTTATTGCCTCAGCTGTCTCTAGATCATCTGGCCTTCTGGACTTCTACAAAACTGAACTAAAGAACATTAGTTCTTATTTTAATAGTTGGTACAATTCTTCACTGAAACATTTGTGCTCACTTAATTTCTTATGGGGAGATTTTGTATTTTAAATGTATTATCTTCAATAATTATGGTGCTATACAAATTATACATTTCATCTTGTCTGACTTTTGCAAGTTTGAGATTTGTAAGGAATTTTTCTAAGTTGTTTAATTAATAAATGAAGAGTTGTTTACATTATACTTCCATTATCCCTTTTAAGGCTGCAGTATTTGTTGTGATTATCTCTGTTTTGTTCTTGATCTTATTTGAGTCTTTTTTCTTTTATCTATGTCAGTTTTGCTAGAGGTTCATTCACTTAATTTCTTTTTCTTAAAAAGTGACAAGACACATTTTTGCTTCATTTTTATTTCTCTTCTGCTTGCTTTGGGGTTTTTTTGCTCTTCTTTTTTTGTAAAGAAGGAATTTAGAATATTTACTTTATGAACTTAAAAAATATTTTGATCTTCATGATTTTAGCTTAGACATTTATTGTCATTCAAATTGGTGATCCTTAATATGGAATGTGTTGTGTGTCTCTGACTTTTTTAAAAAAAAATTGTATTTGTCTTTAGTTTTCAGAAGTTTTTTTCTGATGTTTCTTGATATGACTTTTTGAGGGGGGTTATTTTTATTTTTTGTGGTTCACACAACTTCGTAGATCTATAGATTTATTTCTTTTGGCATATATATGGAATGTTTGTGGCCACTAATTCTCTAAATACTTTTTCAATGTTTTACTTTTTCGCCTGTTGTTGTGTAACTCTGAATAAATAAATGTTAGATCTTTTGTTATTATCTGACAGACCCCTGATGTTCTGTTCATTTTTCTGTCATCCATTTCTTCTCTGTTGTTCATTCATGTTCAGTAAATTCTATTGACTTATCTTCAGCTTTACTGATCCAATACTACCATGCCTTTGCACTATTATGCCCTTCCAGTGAATGTTTCATTTTGGTTATTGTACTTTCCAGATCTATATTTTTTATATATCTAATGTTCCACATGCAACTTATGTTTCTTTCCTATCTGTTTTTTTATTTATTTCAATTTTTTTTTGTTTTGAGTTGGAGTCTCACTCTGTCGCCCAGACTGGAGTGCAGTGGCCGCTCCCGGCCACCGCAGCCTCGACCTCCTGGGCTCCGGCAATCCTTCCACCTCAGTTTTCCGAGTAGCTGGAACTACAGGCGCGCACTACCACGCCCGGCTGATTTTTTGATTTATTGTAGAGATGAGGTCTCGCTGCCCAGGCGGGTCTCGAACCCGCGGGCTCAGGCAATCCATTCACCTCAGCCTCCAAAGGCGCGGGATTACAGGCTGAGCCACCAAGTCCGGCTATTTCAGATTTTTAAAAAATTTATTATTTTAAAGGTGTGAGGTACAATTCAGGGTTCGGTATAAAAATGTTCATTATGTAGGTACCCTTGTTGATGAGGTGTGCCCTACCTGCCCCCCCCCCACAGTTGCCAACTACTGTCAATCCCTTTCTTACAGTATTTTGATAATTGTTCAAGTTCCGCTTATGAGTGAGAACATGTGGTACTCAGTTCTTTGTTTCTGTGATAGATCACTCAATATTATAGACTCTTAAGTCCATCCAAATTGCTGCAAAGTTCATAACTTTGTCCTTCTTTATGGCTGCGTAATTCTCCATTGTGTATATGTACCACATTTTTTTTTCACATTTTTTTTGTCCAGTCCTCCTTCAATGGGCAGCATGGTTGGTGCCATATTTTTTGCTATTGTGAATAATGCTGCAATAAACATGTGTGCAGGTATCTTTTTCATAAAGTGATTTGAGTTCCTCTGGGTATATTCCCAGAAGGGAAATTGCTGGGTTACACAGAATGTTGATTTTTAGATCTTTTAGGAATCGCCAAACTATTTTCCACAGGGATGGTACTCTAGTTTACACTCCCACCAACAGTGCAGAAGTGTTCTCTTATTCCTGTATCCTCTCCAGAATTTTTAATTGAGTATCGACGCATTTTAAGGATAGCTGCTTTAGAATCTTTGTCAAATAATCAACATTTGACATAGCTCAGTATTTTTTTCAGGTTGCTTTGATTTCTGGGACTGCCGAAAATCTGGCTCCATCCCTGCTGATGCTGTATACAGGGGCATAAAGTACCTCCCCAGATCAGTTGCTATTGCTAACTGTCCTTCTGGAAGGAGGACAAAAGCCTTAGGTTTTGGGTCTCCTTATGTCATTGGATGGAGGGCAGGGAGATACAGAGCTGTTGTTGTCACTGTGGTTGAATGGCACTGCCCATGAAGGTCCCAGTAGTGTAGCAGAAGCTTGGATGACTAAGAGCTTCATCACTGCTATTGCCAGTGAATGAGGTCACCTAATGTGGACCTAGGTGTGGAGAAGCATTTGGGATTCTTTACTATGTCTTTGTTGGGCTTCCTCTTTGCTAATCCTATGGCCAGGGAGAGCATTTTTTTTTTTTTAAATTTTGGTATATTTGTGTTTAGTTTATGCCTGTTAATGGCTACAGTTCACAACCCTTTTTACTGCCCAGTCCAAGAGTATGTAGGACATAAAAGGAAAGCCAGAAGAAACTCACCGCGTTGGCGTTATTCAGGTCTTTATTCAATATGTCTGAAGAGTTCTTATAGCTGAACAATTTCCAGAGTCTCTTGAATAATTTCCAGAAGAAATTTAGTTATACTTTAGTTACACTTACAGGAAAAAAGCAGAAAAAGATATAAAAGAGTCTATGTCTTCTAATTTCTGAACTGGAAGCCTTCTAAATTTATTTAAATGTTTAGAATATCTTTTCTTTGCCTTGTTTTTCTATTTTTTTCAACACTTAATATTTTCTGGATATTTAAATGGCAGAAGTTAAACTTTTTTTTCACCCACAATTTTGTTTTTTTCAATTTGCTGGTATTTTCTTTAGTCATAGTGTCATCTTCTTGTTGATGTTTGTTTTAGGACCCTGCAGTTCTCTCTGAAGACATAGTGGTCTGTTGTCATGAAGCCAGAAACAGACATTTTTTTTTTCAAAACCTCCAGACTTCTATGGTTCTAATCTCATAAAGGCATTGCCTTAGTAAAATTCTCTTAAATTGATTCTATACTAAATGTGCTAATAGAGGGACTTTCAAGGTCCAAGATTTCCAGGTGAAAAAATACTCTGCTATTTTGCTTGACTCTAGGTTTTTTTTTTATCAAAATATTTTTTATTTGGTTTTCTTAATCCTCCCTGAAGATGATTTATCTGGCTCAAAATGCCAAGGCCGTTGCTGTCTCATACTACCATTTTTACTTAATGAGTAATTTAAGACCTTTTTCCCAGCACCTGGGAAGAATATCTGGAGAAATTCCTATTTGGAAAAGGTAGGTAAAATTGATAAGTAATTTTTATTTTTAATATTGCCATTAACCATAACTGGGATGACTTTTTCCTTCTCAAAATATATTTTTTTCCAACTTAGTGACAATACATTCAAATATCATTTTAGAAAATTAAATCAAATGCATCTATTATTTTACTATGGCATTCAGTTTCTAAAGCATAACACATAAATTACATTCTGTATGAAATACCTCTTGCTCTACTACTGAGAAATTTCAAAGGTGTTTCTCATGTCTTGTAATGACAAATATTTTGAGTTTTTCTTTTCTGCCCAGGTTCTCTCCCTTCATCGCAGTTGTTTACATTTCAGAGAGAATCTGTGATCTAAACCTTATCATTGCCCCTTTATCCAGGGACTGAGATAACGGATGTCAATTTGCTGGCATTACACAGCTAAAAAACATAGCATAGTTTTATTAAACCACTTTAACAAAGTGATGACATTTCCTGAGTGACTGTTGAGCCAGAGTTGGATTGTAAATTCTTCGTAAGAAAGAAAATTGTCCCTTCTTTTTACCAAATACATTTTCATTATCTGAATACCAAAGTAGCACTTACTAGTTTTATGAAAAGAACAGTTTTAGCTTCTAACAGTAGTCCCTTTTCCTTATAAAACAAAGAAATATATTTCCTGGGCTAGGCTGTAATCTAAATTCTGAGTCAACTATCACGTTGTTCCCCACATGATACTCTTGAAACCATTTCTGTCCTTATTCAGGTAAAATGCTTTAATCAAGTCAGTTTATTCATATAAATTTATGATCTAGCCCAGTCAGCTTTTTAGTCATAGCTATATATTTAAAATCCCTCTCAAACTTGCAACATACATTATACTTAACAGGAAATGTTTTCCTTCTGTCATATGGTCATTTTTAGAAAATGTTATATAGAGAGTTTTAAAACGACTACAACAATGGAGCAAAGTTTTAGGGTATTAATCAATAATAAAAATCAGAAGAAATATAATAATTTACAATAGTCTATGAGACTCTACTTAAATTCTCAATAAAGGGGGTGAAGAAGAAAATACACAAGATTCAACCAGAACCAGTACTTTCTGCTTTAACTTCTACTGCTCTATAGATTAACATCATCATTAATACTTTGGCAGTGGCCAGATTATTCTCCAAATACTTTGTATGTCTAACAGAAAATATTGTGTATTTGCCTATTCATCTATAAATTTTCTAGTACTACTGCAATCTTTTCCACTGGACTTTTCTATACTAACATCATTTCTGCCCTTTTACTCATTACTGACACATCTCATGCTTCTCTCACAGAGGACTGATACTGAAAATATGGTCAGAATTTTTTAGAGGAAACTTCCTGCACATATCCACAGTTAATAATACACATTTTAAAATGCTATTGCCTCCCCACTGCATAAAAATCCTCCGTCAAGACATCTAAAGATGGTTCAAATTTTGCCATAACTCATCTTCTTGGTTTTATAGCCTCTCTCACACTTAATGAACAACTCACCTTAAATTTCAATCACTTTGCTTTTCTTCTTCCTTGAACACATTAGAAGATCTTATACCTCGAAGAATTTGAACCATTTCTTCTACTGGAAATTCAGTCTTTAACAGCTCAGTAGACCATGCATTTTGGGTCTTGGTAAATTCTGGCTCATCATTTTCAACTTCAGCTTAGATATCACATTCCCAACACCTTTCTAGACATAGCCATACAAATTTATTTGCTTCCTAAAATGTTATAAATATTGTTATGTGATTAGAAACTGAAAAATGATTCATTTCCTAGATTTTGTTCCTTGCATCTTCGATAATTAATGAGTAGTTTAGTCCTTGATTTATTTGCACTTTTGTTGAAGTTTTTAATATTTATGTCAAAGCAAGGTCTAATCAGTCTTCAAATCAAACATATTTGAAGTTTTCCATGAGTTTTTATTTTTTTGTTTCTAAATTTTTATTAAAAAAAAAGAAATTTTTACTAAGAACAGAAAAATAAAGGCAGAAAGCATAAAGAGATACTGAATCTTTACAACATTTACAACTCAAATCTGATTTCCAATTTAATTTGAAGTAACTGTGACGCTTTTGCTTCTTGAAATATTGCTAATATTGAGCCCAGGGGTTGTTTTTATTGCATTTTGAATGTGAACTAAAATGTCAGAGCTAGAATAAACAAGATAATTCTATACAATTTTGCTAAACATATGTTACTGATTTTTAAACTTTTATAATTAGTTTATTTAAAACTTATGAAGAATGAGCCAACCAAATGTGAATTTCCTTCAGTATTCAGAGTCAACATTTAAGAAAACAGATTATAAATGTTTTATACATTTTCACATTATGTCAGTTATTTACTTGTTTATCATTTTCTTGGATATGTCTTTTTACTGATAGAATCCAAAGACAGAAATCAAGAAGATTATTAAATTTCTAGAGAAGAACCTGAATGATGAGATTTTGGATAGGATCATCCATCATACCTCATTTGAAGTGATGAAGGACAATCCTCTGGTGAATTATACGCATGTACCAAATATAGTCATGGATCACAACAAATCTTTTATGCACAAATTAACTGCTTTGCTGAGTTTCATTTCCCTTTTTTACTTTTATACCCTGAACTAAGGATTAGCTCTGTGATCTCTGTCACATGACTTAGCCTAATTAGGCCTTAACTTCTTCATCTGCAAAATGTGGATACTAAAAATACTGACCACCAAAAGTTGCTGAATGGATTGAACCTTATTAAATGAGATAATGCATGCAAAGCTATGACTAGAATAACTTGAATATTTAATAACTATTTCTTCTTCTCTTTACGGTTTTTCTAAGTAAGAGTGGTTTTGACAATTCTAATGTGAGCCGTTCCAAATTTATCATTCTTAAATCTTTGTCTAAATTGGCATTGATGGAATTTCTTCCCCTCCTCAGTGAAATATTAACTTCGTTAATTATGTACCATCTTCCTTAAAGGCCCCTATCATTTAGAAAATGGTCATTCCAATAAGAAGAATTCATCAGCTGGTTCGAGTACAGTGGTGTTTAAGGAAGAACATTTAAAAAAAATCTTATGAGAAATTTGTAATCCCTACAAATAATTTCTAAATTGTAGGAAATAGAATTTAAATTTAGCTTAGAAGAATTTGGCCTTCTCTGTTGAAATACAACTTCATTTCCATTTAAGCAAAGCCTGTACATTGTAGCTCATGACATAATATTACATATTACATATTGTGACTTAGTACATGTCAAAAATGTGTTATAAATAATAAAAACAATACATTTAACACATTATTAACTTAAACAATTTGAGAAGTTATACACATAATGTCACCTTCTGCTTTCAATATTCTTTATTTAATTAGAAAAAGAGGAGTAGAATATGCCAGTTCATGTGCCAGGAAGTAAGCTTAACCTTAGGAATGTGTTGTGATGTGAATATGTGAAACAAAACTACCGATTTTGTGTTATATGATTGCAATTTTCTAAGGTGTGTCTTTATTAACATATTAAAATGACAAATACATTCAACCTCTTAAAAATACATTTAACCCCTTGAAAATAACAGCTAGAATAAGAGAGGAAGACAAATTGTTTTATTGTAAATGGTGTGTATTATAATTTGTTGTGTGTACATATATATCTCGTGTATGCATATATATGCATACACGAATATTTATGTATATATACAGTAGCACTTTGGTTGTACAAAGAATTGGTTCCAGGACACCGGCCCTCTGTATACATGGGTGAGTTTCACATACTATATTTTTGATTGCTTTTAGTTGAAAAAAAAAGTCTGTGTATAAGTGGATCTCTGCAGTTTAAATCTGTGCTGTTCAGAAGTCAACCCTTTACATTTACAGAGAGTGCCAAAAATGTATACACATTTTAAGAAAGGAAAAACCTGTATTAAAATTGTAGTATGCAATACAATGAATACAAGTCACATTTGACTTTTGCATTTACAGGGAGATTAATGTGATTATCATCAGTGTCCTGACACTTCTGATTACAGTGAGTATCCTTTAACATTTCTTAAAATGTGTATGCTTTTTTGACTCCCCTGGTATATATTCCTTTTCATGGAAGAAGGAGCAGAAAAAAATCTACTTTATTAAATGTGGTAACTTGTCATTATGTTGGGTAACTGAATATAATTTCTAGATTTTATCTCTAATCCTGTGAAAGTTGACGCTGTATCATGATATGTAATTACAGTAGAGATAAAGAAGACATGCTCAGTATTTGGATTTTATGGCTTCTCAAACTTCAAGAATATATTTGACCAGCACATGCTGGTCAAATAATGAAGGCAGCCTTTACAGTCTTTGGAATAGTAAAGGACATACCTTTGTAGTCAGATCGATCTGAGGTTCACCCAGTCTATGACATTCCTCTATCTATGACCTTGAATAAATCAATTAACCTGCCAAAGTGCTGCTTACATCACTGGCAAATTGAAGAATATAACACCTATGGCACGTATTTCTTGGAAGGATTACAGAAAATGATATGTAAGCATTTAGAATATTTTCTGACCATAAATAAATGCATGCAGAAGTAGAAAGTATTATTAGTCTAAATAGTTCAAGATTTATCTCTTTCATTTATTCATTTATTCATTCCTTTCATTTTTTCATTCCTTCACTCATTCATCCAATAAAAATTTAAAGAGTAGTCATACTTTCATTAATTCACATTTTAGTAAAATTCTTTATGAATACCTATATGCAGTACATATTCTTTTCAGTATTCAAAGATGAGTGGCGCATACATTTGCCTCAAGAAGCTCACAGTGTAGTACAAGAAGCATGTACTTCAATGAATATTGAAAAGATCTTGAACACACAGTTTTAAAGATACCCTATTGGTTAAACCCATGTCATCATTTAGTGGTGCAATAGTAAGGTAATAGGAAAAAGATGAAAAATGTCCAGAGTTTATACCTATGTCTTAAATTACAAAAAAACCAGGACAATTTGGACTTAGTAATCATTTATTTTATAAAAATTTTTTTGTGAAGCAAATGTATTTGTATATATTGTAAAATTTATGTGCACATCAGAAGATCATTGAAATGCATTATACATAACTGGTTATTCTTTAAATCTGTGTTTTCATCTGTTTTTAATGACATCCTTACAGATGCACCATCCCAAATATGTTTGTGTTGATTCTTCATATACATTCCAAAGAATTATTGACATCTAAGAAACATACAGCAAAGTGTAATAACTAGAAATGCAACTTTGTCTGTGGAAATGCTTTTCATTTAAAGGATCTGGAAGTTTCATTGAAGCATTATGGATGATTATAACTTCTAAATTAGTAAGACATGCTAATGTTTCATAAAATAGTAAAACATTTTCCTTTAAGAACATTAGCAGTACATTAAAAACTTATTCATTTCTCAAATAAATATAAGTATCCAAGTATGACAGATTAAATGTAAATTTATATTCCAAAAATTTTGCTTTTAAAAAGAAGGTGCAGGGATGTTGTATGTTTGATATTAGTGTTATTCTTCCTACTTAAATTACAAATAAAAAGCAAGTCTACTGAATTAGAGAAAACAGATATCCTTTAAGTATCATAGCATCCTTATTTATAAATTCTAAACAATGATACCTACCAGTTTTCTGTTCGACAGTTTGGATGTGTTGATGACCAGTTCTTTGTGTAGTTTCCAAAAGAAACTTAGGAAATAAAATATACTCTATTTATTCAGAGTGCTAAGTGATAATCTCTTGACCCATGACCATTAGGAACAGTAAAAGTATCTGTCTCAGGAAATATTGTACAGCCTATGAACTGAAACAAGAAAATGTATCCTTCTCAGAATGCCCCTTTAAAATTCAGACTCTGTATAGTTATAAAGCCACCTTTCCAGAAAAGAGGAATTACTCGATCTTAAAAATGACATTTTAAAGTATTCAAATAAAAGGACAGTCTTTCTTTAGGTCTCTAAACTTTTCCTTTGGCATATATTAGCTTTTACATCATATGAAATATTTTATTTTCATTTTTTATCTTTTCTTACTTGTCATTTTCGGGGATTGCTGATGAATGGCCCCAAATGAGATGCCATTTAAAAGAAAGAAATGTCTGGAACTACATTTCAATTTCATAGAAGATTTAAAGTCACAAATCTGAAAAGAAAAAAAAAGAGATTACCTGTAGTTTGTTGAAACAAAGGCAGTAATGGTTTGACTGGGGTAATCTATTGAATTTTTTAAATTTTTTATTAAAGATGAGGTCTCGCCAAGTTGCTCAGACTGGTCTCGAACCCACAGGCTCAGGCAGTCCTCTCATTTTGAACTCCCAAAGTGCTGGGATTTAGGCGTGAGCCACCGTGCAAGTCTTTATGAAGTGAATTTTTAAAGGAGAAAAATGTGCTTTTAAACTTTTGATTTTTCAAGGTCATTAACCAGGTTCCAGCTTTGTTACTTTGGCTCTAAGATTTCAAATTGCCTAAAGCTAAGGCGCATTGTTACTTTTTGTAGGCAATTCCTACCTTTTCCTAGACTAGTACTGACAAGGAAGAAATCACTTATTCTACTTCATTTCTCCTATATTATGACTTAGAATTAAGTTCCCCTCCCTATTGCCATGGTTCGAGAAATGCTGTTCTTACACTGACACTATATTTCCCAGCTCTGCCCCAATTTCCCTTTGCTGAAAATTTGACCCAAGACAATGTGTTCCAAGGCTTTCTACTGAGTTTCAGGTTGTTCCCTGAGTCATAGCTCCTCGTCCTGCAGTGCCTCTGTTTGGATAACTCAGGTCATGTCCCAAATCATGTGGTTCAGATTTTGGAAATGTTGTTTCTATACCATACTTAATTTCCAAGTCTCCAAAGGGCAAACACTTTATTAATCTCTGAGGGTCCTGGCCCTCTGAGAGCCTGGCCTGCTTCCTGTGGAGAGTTCTCCTCCCCGCAACAGATCGTTCTGAACTTATGAGAATTGTCTATTGCTGTGTCCTCATCACTTTGGGAACTTCAGTTACTTCATCTTATGCCTGAACAGATTTAGATCCCATAAGAGCACATTCAATACCCTAGATAAGATCATAGCTGCTGCTGCAAATTTTTCAATCTGGTGCCCAAGGGAGACTGTCTAGGCTGAATCTCTACTCCGCCCTCCTGACCCAATGTCTCTTCTACTTACTATCCCACATTTATGTCTATCTGCCTGGTCTCTTTAGTAGATGTTTACTTGGAACATTTGTTTCTGAACTCCAGCTTTGTCTCAGAAATAGTTGTTTATATCTCCGTGAGCAGCAGAATCTTCTGCCTGCAGGTCATATCACATGCCCCAAATTACAGGCGGAGCCATAGTTCCCAAACTGAAGCTGGGTTAGAGTGGGCTCTTACTAGTTGTGTGTGTGGGTGGGCTCTTACTAGTTGTGTCTGACGCGTTGTAGGCCCTCTAAGCCATAATGAGATAGCTGTGTTACAGCATTTTGAATTTATAGGTGAATCTTTGCTGGCAGCACCTTAAGTCTGTGATTTCTTTCCAACTCTACAAAAGATTGATCTGGTACTAACTCAAAATCTCCTAAAAGTGACACACCTATGATTCTTAAGTAGTTGCTTCTGTAGATGTATTATATGTATTACG